TTCCTTCCTTCCTTCCTTCCTTCTTTCTTTCTTTCTTTCTTTCTTTCTCTTTCTCTTCTTTCTTTTCCTTTCTCTTCTTTCTCTTCTTCTCCCTGTCTAGAGCAATGAGGATGGCTTTTCTTTAGCAGTACTTGTGATTGTGAATGTGTGTGTGTGGAACAGAACCAGGGCCTCATGATTCCAAGCATGTACTCAACCACTGTGCCCCATCTCTAACTCCAGAATGAGCCTCTTTAAGGATCTGTTGTATAAGAAGAGGGAGCCACTAATAATAGCAAAGAATTTAATGTTCATAGTGACTGTTTGGCTTAGAAGTTATTGCATGCATCTTCCTCATGAGGAAACAGACTGAGAATATTGGGGAAACTGTCCAGATCAGGGGTTTTGTCTTCTCTGCTCTGTATTCAGGTTCTTTCTCTTATGAACTAAGGTAGTTTGTTGACTTCTCACAATCTAGTAAACATGTCTGTGTTCCTTAGGCCTAATTTTGAAACTTCTGTTGCTTTTTCAGTTATGGTTATTGCTTTACTGGCTGTTTATTCATTTGATTCATTTGGCAATTGTATTTCTTTTGTAGGACTAATGATTGAGACTAGCAGCTTTTGTCTTAGTTTAACCTTAAAAAATAAATAAATAAAATATTTACTACATTATGACAACTGCTCCTTTAAAAAGAAATACAAAATGCTCCAGGGGGTTGGGGTGTTTTCTTGGAGGATTCTTCCTATAAGGTAGCCTGTGGAGCACCCTGCTAATATCTCAGGTGAATGAGAATTGCATGTGTTTACTGTTTTCTAGCTTGTCCAGATTATCATCAATACAACACACTTGGAGAAGTCCTGTAAATACCTAGAGGAATTCATCACCAATATCACTAATGTACTTCCAGAGACAGTCCACACCACCAAGCTCTATGGTACCACAACGTTCAAGGTGAGAGCATGTTAGCATAGAGGGGATAGTCATGAGCACAATCCATGGGCACAGTCTGGGCCATTTCCCATGTGGCTTTGTTTCTGAAAGATGACTTATGGTATGTCTTAAGAATAAGAGAGAGTTTTGTTTGACCTCCATTTTTCTAGAAAGCAAATTTAGATATCAGGGTGGTATGTGTGTATGTTCAAGATAATCACAAAATTTCAACTACATCCTCTAGATAGTATGGTTATAGCTGACATGAATATCAACTGTAATTCTGTATTTGGTAATTCTTTCCTTTCTGTGCCTAACTTTTTAAATCTTAATTTTTAGTGACAAGTCTTTACCCCAAATAGTTAGCCATCTTATTATTATTTTACAAGGCCAAAGCATTAGTTTTCACTGGCCTTAGATTAGAGAAAATGACACCTTTGTAGAACAAAAGAAAGATCAGTGGTAGATGAGTTTATGGAGCATAAATACCTTCTCTTAGAAGAATCCTGTGAGTCTTAATAAAATCCTGTACATTACCATTTGAAATTTTTCATGAGTATTAATCAGAAAAACTGTTGCAGTTTTAAACATTAGAAAGAGTGTATTTGATATAAAGATGATCTTGAGTGGAGACTGGGCCTTATTATATAGCTCTGGTTGGTTTAGAACTCTGTGTAGACCAGGCTGGCTTTGAACTCACAGAGATCTGCTTGTCTCTTCTTCCTGAGTAGCTGGGGTTAAAGACCAGTACCACCACATTAAGCATGGTTTGAGTTTTATTGTTACATGATTGTTGTAGTTTTAAAACATGGTGTGTAACACTCAAAAATCCAAAAATGTGACAATTAGATACATAGTTAGAGTTTTAATAATGATCCGTGTCCCCTGTTGTTTCCCTTTTTCTATCCTTTTATCCTTTCTCTGTTTGTGGGTACCATCTCTCAAATGTAGCCCCCAAAGAAGAAATCAAAATTGATCCATTTAGTGATGACATTGTACGAGAGAGGGATTTTTGGAAGAACTTAACTGTCTATCATTGTTAGAAATATGTGCAGTATTGAACATGACCCAGTCCTTCTATCTCTTTGTTAGCTACTAGACTGAGTAAAATATTCACAAGATGACCCTGGCATTCTTCACATTACCAATAAGATTATTTAAGACAAATTCATTACCAATAACCCTAAGTTCATGCCATTCCTTTCATATTGTTCAGTAATGTCTGATTACAGAAACCTTGATACCCATGGGCTGTTGGTTCAACAGTGCTCACTACTAATCTATACCACATCCTCCCAGAAACTTAGATCATTTCTATATTACTTACAACATTTTGACAATGATAGTATTGTCACATATATTGTTTAGGGAATAATGGCATGATAGTAACTATGCCCAAGTTCAGTAGGAGCTCTGTTTTTTTTATCTTGAATAGATTGAATATGCTGTTGGTTGAATTCAGAATTGAGGAACCTATAGACACAGAGCACTAAGGACATATTAATATTGATGCCTTTTTAGTGAAGATTTATCTAATAAGGAGGCCCTTCGAATGGTATGAAAATGTGATAAGAGCACTCAGAGCTTCAGAGTTACCCAGGCATTATAGTAGGAGTCAAAATTATCTTTATATGGGATTATTCTTAGAGTGTGGATAGAGACTTTATTGTAAAATGTTTCTGTTGTTCTACTATGGAAGCCAAAACTTTTGTTCAAAGAAAATGTAGGAGTAGCTATCATTAGGCAGAGAAGAGACTCAGTAGACTGTCTTCCAGATGGAGAATATTCTGGATCTACTAATACTCTCCATAGCCTGTCTTATTTGTAAAATTTCAATGACTTTTCAAATTATGTTCAGAAATCTGTTTAAAGGATGCTTGGTACTATGTTCTGGGTTTTAGAAAGGAAGTTTTCATTTGTTTTTGAGATAGAGTTTTACATGCTAGCAGAGGATATACTAGAACTCACTGTGTAGTCTTGGCTGGTCTCAAACTGTAGGTAATTCTCCTACCTCAACCTTCTTATTGTTGGGAGTACATATGTGAGTCCCTGTGTCTAGCTTGCCACAGTATTTAGAATGCTGAGGGGGAATGAAGAACAGGTAGGAAGCAGTGGATGCTGAGCAACCAGTTAATTGCCGAGTCTCTAGAGGAGTAATGCAGGGGACATTAAAGGTCATACTTGCAGCACTTTTATGGGAAACATTGATTGCTCAAAGTTTGCTGAAAGCTTGTTTTTACCAGGGCTATTTCAGACGAGCCAACCCAGAATTCAATGTAAACATGGCAGCTAGGAAAGCTCCATGTTGTGTGTTTTCCTAAGCTACTGTTTCCTGAAACTTTTCCCTTGCAGATGGAAACCCTTATGCTTGAAAAGAGGCAGACACACTCAGAAGGTCTTCAAGGTGTTCTCTGACAGAGCTCCCTCTTGTTTCTTCTGCCACGAGTGACATAATGCAGCTGGCATGCTTGACTTTTCCCAGCTCCTAGGGTTCTCTTGTCTGTTTGAAAACAGAGATCAAAGCTGTTTACTAATTCACTTTATCATAAGTACTGTTGAGATACTTATTGTATGACAGTCTGATATATTTTGTAGGAGAGAGAAAAAGTCTGTTGACTTAGAGCTTCTTTGAGGCACAGGGAACACAGACACTGTTAACTTCTGTAGAGAGCTGTAGAAAGTACTAGAATAAATGCAGTAGATGCCTTTAATCTGTTGTCTATCCAGCAGGTTTTAATAAAGCATCTGGTTTGTTTCTGGTAGTCTTATAAGCCTGAACAAAATAAGTGTCTCTTTATGTTATGGAACTTATATTCTAATGAACTGATATCTGATAAGTAGATTTAGCTAATGGCATGAACTGGGGGTGGAGGGGGTGCTGATGACCTGAAGTCATATTCAAAATCAGAATCGTTTAGATTTTTGTAGAGATGCATTTCCACTGAAGGTGTATAATAGTAAGGCAGTGGATTCTGGCACATTCAAGGCATTTAGCTGTTGCAGCAATCACTGGTGGACGTGGGAAGAGTCCCTGTGGTAAGGGGCCTGTAGGACATAATAAATTCTATAGTTTTTACTCTGAAGTTAGATGTGAAGTTTCTACGTTGGGAATGTGGTATGGTGATCTGATTTATCTTTGAATGTATTATAGGTTATCATGTCATTGTAAATTAGTAAGTGTGGAAGGTGGTAATTCAAGTTGGATGCCATTAAAATAGTCCAGATGAACAATAATGCTCATGAGGAGTGATAGAGTCAGAAGTGGAGAAATATTTTGAAGATAGTAATGGCAGATTTTTAGTAACTTTTTTTTTAAAGTAAATTTTTTAGTAAAAAGCTTAGGTAATTCCAAGATTTTTGAACTGAGTGAACTCTCTAATGGTAGTAATAGTCACTGAGAAAGGAAATGTCATTTTAAAATTTTAATTAAAATATAATTATATCAATTCCCCTTCAGTTTCTGCCTTCTTATCTCTCCCATGTGCACCCCCCCTCCCAGTTCATGGCCTCTTCTTCTTTAGTCATTGTTGCCTATATAAATGTTTATGTATATACACAGATGTACATAAATACGTACATACCATGATGATTCTGTTCAGTGTTGCCTACATGTATATGTTTCTAAGGATGACCACTTGGTTTTCAACAACCAGTTAGTAGGCTCATCCTAGTGAAGACTAATTCTCTCTCTCAGCAGTTACTAATTGCTTGTAGGTCTTGAACTAGAGCTGAGGCCTGTGAGATTCCCCCATATGCACTGGGATGTCAACTAGTGTTAGGATTTTGTTCAGGTCTTGTTTAGGCAGCCATTTTGTTGAGATTTCATGGGGTGTACCTTTCCTGCCATAGCTACGTGACACATAACTCACAACAGACTTCCTGGTCTTCTGGTTCTTAGAATCTTTTTGCCTCCTCTTCCCCAGTATTCCCTGAGCCTTAACAACATTAGTTGTCTTGTAGATACATCAACTGGGGCTGGGTACTCCATGCTCAGTGCTCTCTACCTTTGGACTAGTTGTGGTGTTCTTTAATGGTCTCCTATTACAAAACAGGAGCTTCTGTGATGAGGCGTGAGAACTACACTTATCTGTGGGTGTAAGGATAAGTATTTAGAATGCAGTTAGGAATTAGGTTGGTTTAATAAAGTGGTGGTAGTAGGTTCTCAGCTAAGATTCATTACCTTACTAGTCATGTGTAGTTGGCTATGTTTACAGTACCAGGCATGATTTTGCTCCTGTTTAGTGGGCCTTAAGTCAAGTTGTTGGTTACAGCCACTATTGTACTTTGCTGATTATTATTGTTTTGGTTCATAGGTGTCATAGCTGGGTATAGGATTATTGACTGCTTTTCTCTCCTAGCAACTTGTATCTCACCTTCTGATGCAATGAAATCTCTAGTCCTCTGGGTCAGGGAACATCTGTTGTTCCTATAGAGAAGAGAATAAGAGATTTGAAGAATTACCAGTAAGTTTAGAAAATTAATTAAAATTACCTGTTACTTTCAAAGAGCTAATGAGAGAAATAGAAGTGTTTGGAAAGATTACAAAAGAATATTTTCAGTGCCAACATCTGTTCCTAGTAAATTCATATCTGTAAGTTACAAATTCAGGAAGCAGAAATAAGTAAGGATATCACTGAACTAAATGGCACCATCAGTCAGCTGAATAACTGACATTTATAGAGAGTGTTGTCCAGCATGAACAGAACACATGTTCTTCCTAAGCTCATGCAGAGCATTGACCAAGACAGACAGTGGTCAAGACCCTCAAATGCCAGTTAGCAAAAACCAGCAAAATAGAAATTGTAACTAAACTCTCTTAAAACATAGACTCAAACCTGTTAACAGTAACATAAATATACTTAGAAAATTCATAAATATTTGAAAATTAACATATTCCAAGAAAAGTGGTTTCAGAAAAAAATCCTAAGAGGAATTTTAAAATACTGTAAGTGAAGTTAAAGTGAAGATGCAAGTCTTCAAAACTTGGATGTAGCAGGGAAAGTATGGCTTGCAAGGGGAGTGGGAGTATTAAGAACTTATTAGAAAAAGAACTTCTTAAATCCAATGTAAGCTAAAGAAATAAACAACAGAATAAGATCAGAAACAAATGAAAGTAAAAACCAGTATTGGAAATCAACAAAATCAAAAGTTGATTCTTTGCCACAAAATGAAGTAAAATAATTAAATTTTGAACCAGGCTAATCAAGGGAAAAGTAGAAAAAATACAAATTGCTAATGGTACTACTGATCTTACCCATTTTCATTAATATAATAATAAAGAGATTTTTATGAAGATTTTTTTTTAATAATGACATAAAGTATAGATTACTTTCGGGGGGAAAACTGATTTAGCCAGGTTCTCATTACCACTACAAAAACACCTGGTACAATAATCTTACAAAAGAAAAAGTAGAGTGTCTTGGTGTACATCTTTAGTTCCAGCACTAAGATGTGGAGACAAGAAAGATAAAAATCTGAAGGTCAGCCTTAGCTAGATAATGGGTTTGAGGCCACACTGAATTTTGTGAGACCTGGTATGAAAAAATAATATTCACAACAACAAACTGCAACAATCAAGAGACAAAAGTTTATTTAATTTCATTTTTGATTGTGTGTGTGTGTGTGTGTGTGTGTGTGTGTGTGTGTGTGTGTGTGTGTCTTTTTCTATTGTCTGGGTATGTGCATGTGAGTGCAGATACCCTTGGAGGCCAGAGGAGAGCATTTGACTCCCTGAAGCCAGAGTTACAGATCTGCCCGACATGGTGTTGGCAATGAACTCTGGTCTTCATGAAAAGCAGCAAGTGCTCCTCGCCACCGTGTCATCTCTCCAGTGCCGGGAAAAGTTCATTTTGACCTATAGTTTTGGATGTTTCAGTCCTTAACTTATTGGCCTAAATGCTTTAGGTTTATGGGATGCCACAATGCATATACATAAGGCAAGAACTTGTGGGGAAGACACTGCCTGCTCCATGAGGTGGCCAGAAAGAAAATAAATATGATGCAGGAAGGAGCCAGGGTCCTTATAACCTCTTTATGCATCCAGTGACTTAATTCCTTCCCTGTAATCCCCAGCTACTAAAGGTTCTACTTTTTCCCATAGTTCTAAATTCACTGGTAAATTCTGTAAAAAATTAAGGATGATATTATACCCGTTTTCTATAATTGTTTCTAGAAAATTATAGCCGAGAAAGAATCCTATTAGTCTCATTTTATGAGGTCTGCTTACCCTAATATCAGACTCACACACAAGGAAGGAAAATTTCATGGGGCTCACAAACATGAACACAACTTCCTATAAACTAGAAGTGCATTGTGGCTTAAGTGCTACTTATTGTAGGTCCACAAATGTGCATCAACATTCAGCCTCAGTCAATGGAAGTCATCATGTCAAACAGACTAAAAAAGAAAATCTGTGTATCAGTAGGTGAAGAAAAATACTTATTTATGTTAAATTCTCAATAAAGAAGAATCAAGACTAGTGGGGACACTTCCTCTACCTTATAAAAAATGCCCATAAACCCCGCAGAGATAGTGTCAGATTTAATGGTGAGAGGCCAGATATTTTCCTGCTAAGATCATGAACTGCTCTCTCTTACCACTCCTCCACAGCATCTAACAACACAAGACTAGGAAAGCTGTCTGGAGAGGGAAGGAAGAAATAAAATTCTTTGTTTCTAAATAACAGGAGGGACTATAGAAAATCCTAAGGAAATAACAGAATATTGAAAAGAACTGATTACATTAATGTTCAGCATACAGGTTAGCATAAAAGTCAGTCTTCATATTAGTAGTGACCAACTAGAGTTTGAAGTTTGGAAAAAACAACCATAATTTCTATTTATGTTAGTAATCGTAAGTAAAACAAATTACTAATTCCTTAATCTAACAAAATACAATTCCTATATGATGAAAACTACAAAACTCTGATGAAGGAAATCAAAGATTAACGATTTTTTTATGTTTATGAGTGGGACGCCAATGTTAACAGTCTAGGTTTTTCCTAACCAAGTTTACTGCATCCTCTTTCAACATCAGCAAATTAATTTGTGGATCTTTGAAAGTAGATTTGGGAAGGCAAAGCCTACAGAATGGCAACAGTCTTAAAAAGTACAGTTCAAGGATTGAGTACTTGAGTTCATGCCTTACTATAAGTGAAGATACAGGAATGAGATGGTATAACATTGGCAAGAAAACAATCAAATAGATGAATAAAGTGGACTACCTTCCCTAAAACTAGGCATATACATAGATATTCGACTGATCTTTCAGAAAGAGTAAAAGTAATGTAATAGAGAATGGAGAGGAATTTTCTTTTCAACAAAAGATGGTGGACATCTGTGAAAACAGCAAAACCACAAGAATCCCAGATGCACACCTTACATCTATCTAACATTAACTGAAAATGTAAATTCTAAATAAAATGCACAATACTACAACCCTTTGCATATAGCTTAACAAGAAATATAGATGACACTGGATTTGGCAGGGCTTTTTTTTTTTTTTAAATACAAAGGTAAAGTTTAGCAATTAGAGAAAGCGGTGTGGAAGGTCTTTAAAATTTTAAGGTAAAAATTCTGTATGATTTAGTAATTCTGTTACATATTCTTACAGAACTGATCACTATAGTCAAGATAGGGAGTCAGCTTATCATCAATCAGTAGATATATAGAAAGAGAAATGTGGTATAGAAACACAATTGAATGCTGTATATTGCCTTATGAAAGAAGGAATTTTTGGTCATTTGTAGCATCTTGGATAATCCTGGAAGATATTATGTTAAATGAAATAAGCATTGAAAAACAAATATTGTATAATTTTACTTCCATATTGAATCTAAAAATGTTGAATTCTCATAAGTAGAGCAGAGCATGGCCACTGAAGACTTTGATAGTGGCTAAGCCATTTTGGTGAAACCACACAATTTTTTTTTTTTTTTTTTGGTTCTTCAAGACAGGGGTTCTCTGTGTAACTTTGGTGCCTGCCTGTCCTGGATCTCACTCTGTAGATCAGGCTGAGCCTCGAACTCACAGAGATCCCCCTGTCTCTGCCTCCTGAGTCCTGGGATTAAAGGTATGCGCCACTACCGCCTGGCCCTACACATTTTTGAAGCAGTTCAAGAGCTCATTCTTCAGCAAGTAGCTATAGTTAATAAGTGTATTGTATCTTGAAAATTTCTGGTAGGATCTGTTTAAAATTTTTTTACCATAAAAAGAACAAATATTTGAGGAAATGCATGTCATTCTGAGCTTGATTTATGTATGTCAATTAATTCTTTGTTATTGTATTTATTATGCCATTTATAATATCTACACATTCAAAATACCTTGTTGAACATGACAAATACCTATGATTTTGTCAGTTAATAAATTTGAAATCATTCTTCATCTAAGTAAATACTGTCTTTGGCTCTACTATAAATTCACAGTCATGTAAAATTTAAGTGAGAGAAAATATAGAAGAGGATAATAAGTTAAAGACAGATTTAATAATTCGGAGTTACAGAACTCTGTTTCTAACTGTGAAAGAAAGATTCCAGTTATGCCTTCTAGATTTTTGCCTTGGTCTGAAAAGAACAGGTGAAGAGTATGGAAAATTCCAAGTCCAGATCTCAGTCTTATGCTTCCAATATTTCTGGGAGTCAAAGGTGTCCATGAAGCAATCAGATACACGGACCATGAGATAGAATGTATTTAGAGTAGATCAGTGTTGAAGACAGACCTGGAAATTATAGAAAATAATTAAATCATCCAGAGAAATTGAGAAAATTTGAGACCAGAGTGAATACAAACCATAGGTGAGCCATACAGTGAAGATCATGGGAGATAGAGTATTAGGTACAGTATTTAATAGAAATCAAGCAAGCTCAGACTGGAAGATGAATATCAGATGTGGTAGCAAGTTGTTCATGACAATTTTTGTATTAGAATCCTGATTGTTCTGTCCATAATGCATATTCATTCATCCTGATAATATATTTCCTAGAAAAATAAGTCCAACAATACTTATTAGGGACTTTAATAAGGTAGTATGTAGCATGAATCTCTTACACAGGGTAACACAAACTTATGTGCTCTAGGAACTCTTTGATGCTGTTTTAGCATTTTTTAGGCCTGTGCTGTATAGAACAGATATTATGGAGAGTGTTTATCAGCTTTTGAAAGAGCCTTCTGATGAAGAAGTACAGAGCTCTTACAGTAACTACTGAGAATAGATTATAACATAGGCATATTTACAAGCAGCTGGAGGAACCAGAGGATGTAGGCAATTTGAGAATGTAGGAAGGAGCTTTTTTTGGAGTCACACAAAGAGTCAAAATGGAATCAATTTCTGAGAGTAAATTTGCTTTTTGATAGAAATGAGAAAATAAAAGGAAATAGATTGCAGGGGGTGTATGTAAATACATTTTCCTCATTTATTGAAGAAAAAGAATGTTTTTTTTTTTTCTGGTAGATTACATTTAACCCTCCCCCGTAGAAAGAGGGAGAGAGACAGTGAGTACAAGTAAAAATTCATTAGAAAATGTTCCTGCTGGGCGTGTTGACACCGGCCTTTAATCCCAGCATTCGGGAGGCAGAGGCAGGATGATCTCTGTGAGTTCATACAAAGTAAGTTCCAGGACAGCCAGTGCTACACAGAGAAACCCTGTCTTGGAAAAAAAAAAAAAAAGAAAGAAAGAAAAGTTTCCTTTCGGCTTTGTAGAAGAGAAGTATTCCTAGAAGCTGATGTGATTCAACACTTACAGCTGTGTTACCAAGTGGTATAGATATGTGGTGGTTACATCACATACATGTTTGCCCTTTTCACTCTAGACATCTGAATGTGTTTTTATATTTAAATATTATTTCACAGGATGCTAGACATGCAGCTGAAGAAGAGATATATACAAACTTAAATCAGAAGATTGACCAGTTTCTGCAGCTGGCTGACTATGACTGGATGACAGGAGACTTAGACAACAAAGCTAGTGACTACCTAGTCGACCTCATTGCCTTCCTTCGGAGCACATTTGCTGTATTCACACACCTTCCTGTAAGTGATAGTTGCTTCTGGTTTGCCCCTCAAAATAGAAAACGGGTACCTTAAACTAGCTTTGGGAAAGGTTTTCATTTCTTACTTACATTGCTAGGGGCCTCTTTAATCTCTAAGAGCTCTTAGTAGATATATAAATCCATAAAGGGACTTTCAGGCCTCCCATATAATTTGATTTCAAAGACTTTTGCTTTTTTTTCCCATTTTGTCTATACTGTCAGGTCTTGTTATGCCTGCGTCATAAGCCCCCAGGAGTCTGAGTTTGTATGCAAAAGCAAAGAGCTTTTATTGCAAGCTCTAGCTTGGGCTTTCCATCCATTCTGACATAGCTGGTGGATCAGGGAGAGCACTGAGCTCAGTTATGGCAGAGGTTTTAAGGAATATAGGATGGGGGTTAGGGGAATCCCGGATTCAGATGGAGGTTTAACTCCTGATTGGGCCAGAGTGAGGTAACAGAAGTCTTGTCAAACAGGGATTGGTACTGACGTTGCTGCAAGGAATTTGGCAACCTGTATACAAGTAATGTAAGCTATCTTTTATGTCTTGGAACATCTAGTACTTGTTTGTCTCAATTCTGATTGGTCTCCTGCAGGGTACAGTTTGTGACTTTTCCTGGTTATTGTAAGGGTGAGGCCTACTCCCGGTATTGTCATGGCCGCACTAATGTTGAGTTTGGCCTCTTCAGTCTTACAACTAAGTTCAAAGTCATTAGTATACGACATGGCAAATACCTTGTAAAGAATATCCCACAGACTTGTTAGTTAACATTTAAGGTCTGTTTCTTTTAATTTTAGGACTTCCTTTGTTTTTTGTTTTTGTTTTGTTTTTTGATCATTTGAAATTCTTTGCTGAACCTCTTATCTTTTTATCTGGTTTGTAATTGTTTTCTGGTTATATTAGTCACAATCATTTAAAGTTACGTTTATTAGCTTATTGTTTATATACATACTGATAGGTTTGATTTTTAGTGATATGTTCATGATTCTTCCTAGTATTTTTGTTTGCTCTTAGACATTTAATTTGAACTGCATAGATTTTGCTTTCTAATAGTGTCCATTCTTACTCTTATTGATATGTTGGTTGATCTGTTGTAGTTGGGCTGATCTTAGTAACAGGGTTGGGTTGCAGTTGTCATGTACCTTTAGTCATCTCTGTAGCTAGTTAAGGTGCTATAAGGACATTGATAAGCACAGGCCTGTCATTGTCTTCAACAAAAAGAACTTCAGAAATTTCTGCATTTCAGCCTTTTGCCTTCTGCAGGCAGATATTGAGAAAGAGTGTGAGCAGTGGGCTAATACATAGTTAAAAATAGTTTTAAAAAACAAAAAATCCAATTTGTAAGTTGTTGGTGTCTGTGCACCACTCCCTTGCCTTTTTAGCTTTTCCTATAGTCTGAATGTTTGTGTAAACTTAGAATTTATATGCTGCACTCAATTACCCCTGTGATAGCAGGATGTAAGCCCCTGGAGGTGATGGCTATGGGATAGGGCCTTCATGAGGAATTCTAGAGAGATTTCTGTTTCTTCTATAATAATAGAATGCCTCAGGAATATGCGTATTATGAAGTTGCAAATGGGCCCTTACCAGACATGAAATCTGTTATCACCTGGATCTTACACTTCCCAGGTTCTAGTACTGGGAAAATAAAGTTGTTTATTAGGTCAGTTGTTTATGAGCTACCTGTCAATGATACATATTTTTTTGTTTATAAACTACCTGGTCTGCGGTGTTTTGTTACTGCAACAGGAATGCATTTTAAAACTGCCTACCCGAGATTCTTACACATAAGCTGAGTCTCTGTGTCTGAGCTACTGTAAGACTTTGGAAAATCTCACTCTGCCTTTCAAAGGTTTTGGCATAATCCTTTATTTTCATGAACTGTTAAGCTTTAGAATTCAACAAATGTAATAGAACATTTGGTTCTCAGACCTCTAATTTTAGTACTGTAGCCCTTTGAAAGAAAGAAAAATTGTTTTAAATATGTAATAGCTAGCTATTCTAGACCCTGGGACCCTGGGACCCTGGGACCCTGGGACCCTGGGACCCTGGGACCCTGGGACCCTGGGACCCTGGGACCCTGGGACCCTGGGACCCTG